TTCGTGCAATCCCTTTTGTTAGTTAACTTATTATATGATATTGTATTGATTCGCTGTATTGACTTGGAGTCTCTGAAACGTAATCTCTGAAATATCTTTGAGTTATCTTTGTGTTTATTTTGTGTTTATATCACGTGTTATTATTGAGAATAATTCTTCGATATTATTGTGAATCCTCACCCGTGATTCCTTGAGTAATTGTCTTAGTCTTATTTATCCTTTTGAGATTTTATTTGAAGCTACGAAACCCAACGTAATAACATATACTCAGAAAAATGCCAAAGAATATAAAGGTTTGGTAAATTTAAAAACTCTTTAGGAAATACTTATTAAATTCAATTATATGTTAGCTAAAATAAAATCAATTTTGATATCAAAATTATACCTTAAGTAATTCAATTGACATATTTAGCAGTAGTGTTTTTAAATTAATGTAATCAGAATTTACTATTGCAGTAATATAATCTGCCTTTGAGCATACAGCAAATTTAACTCAATATTATTTAACCATTGATATTACTTGTGAATTAGATCAAAATTAGTTATGTTCTTTGATAAGTTAAACTACATTATCCTTAAAAAAACGTGTTTTGAGATATCTGTGTAGTAAAAATAGCATTATTATGGTTAATATTAAGGTATCAGACATAAAGTAACTAGCCTGATGTGAAATATAATTTTTTTAACATGACCATGTTGATGGTATTTTAAAAGACTTCCAAAATTTATAAAATTATTTTCATCTTTTTTGTAAATGTTTCTAAAGTTGTATTAAGTAACCTAGCTTCTAATCCAGCTATAGCATGAAATACATCTTAAGGCATTATATATAATAATCTTGAAATAATTGATCTAAGATATTTGGCTTAATATACAGATCATATTCTCTTGCAAAAGCTTTTTGTAATAAAGGTACATCACATAACTGCTGCAAATGATTAAAATAATTATTTGTAAGATGATGATACCTACCATATTTTTTAATATCAAAATCTAATGTAGTAAGATTATTTTTAAATATTTTACAAGTCCTACATTCATAATTTGCATTATGATACAAAATGCTTATCAGATCATTTTCTTACGAGAGATCTGCTATGATTACACTTAAGCCTCTGGTAACCCAAACTTCTTTTTCTTTAATCTTCATTATAATCCCATTTTGTAATTTTTTAATATTATTTACAAAAGGCTTAATAACATTCTTAAACTCTCTACCAAATGGTATAAATCCTAATAAAAAAATGATTTTTTAATTGTTAGTGTAGCTTAAGTGACATATTATCAAATTGAACATAAAGTCCTCCTAAAAAATGACATATTGTTCTAAAAGTTCAAAAGTTATCATAATAAAGATTTATAAAAAATTTAAATTTTCTCATATTTAGTAATGGTAAAATACCTATTATTATGTGTTCATTTGGATAATGATATCATTAATTAATAGGACAGATTTTATAATGATTATTATGTTTATAAAGAATTTTAGAAATATATTTTTCATATCCATAAATTGGTTATTCTATATTTTCAAGCTAAATCATAGCTTTTCTTATTATTTGTAAATGTTTTATTAATATAGTATCATCCATCATCCATAATTGATCTATACTATAAAAAGTTAAATAAAACATTCTAGGTAAATTAAAATTTTTTAATAGTTTTTAAAATTTTAATATGCTAATATCTATTTTCTTCTATTTTGACAAAGGCTATGATCCTTCCATAATATTATATATTATTAAGTTAATATATGATAAAGTCTTCAGTTTCATAAGAGACTTAAAAATAAAAAATATATAATTTACATTATCACAATAAAATATGTGTCTGAATAATACAATATTCTTACCATTATTATGGTAAATGGCTACAGTACTGAATAAGTCAATTCAAAGTTCTATGTTATAATTCTTTTTTATTAGATGTTTCTATGCCAGTTTTAAAGTACATATGGTTTTTTAAAAAAGGATTATTTAATATTTGTTTAATATAGTTCAAAATAGAAAAATGATAAGCTTCTTTAGTTGTTTCAGAATTAGATGGAGTATTTTTTTGAGATATTGAGACAGATATATTTGAAATTAGTATCAAAGATAAGTTTTTTCTAATATTTTTTGATGGTAGCAAGATTATTAGAAAGATTAAAAATGCAGAATTGAGAATGTTTAAGGATGCATATAAGATCTTTGTATGCAAATGTTCCTATAATATATAATTATAAGTACTACAACACGTCTTACAAAGATTATCTATCATATGTTTTACAGCCTATATAAATATCAAGAATGTTGTAAAATTTGGAAAATTTATATCTAAGTAAGAATTATTATCATAAATAGCTCCTTCGTCAAGTGGTTTGAGATTATCTCTTTCAATATTTTCTGGTGATTCTGAAATATTATCAGATACATTAGAGTTATTATTCATATTGTCATTTTTCAAAAATCCATTAGATAATTCTAAATCACTTTCAAAATCATCATCTCTTACAAAGATATCATCATCATCCCTTATAAAAGTATCATCATTATCCCTTACAAAGGTATTATTATTGTTCTTTTCAAAGTTACTATTATTATCTCTTTTAATATTTCTTTTGATACTTGAATTATTAGTTATATTATATGAAATTATATTAGTAAGGTAAGATTCTCCTAAAACATAATATAGTTTGTTTTCTTTGGCTTTTCTTATTCTTCTAGTAGTAAATTTATTTGATGCTATACGTATTCTATGCATTATATTTGTAAAGAAAAAAAAATGAGAGAAGTTTGTAAAATATTGATAAAATAAATGTAAAAAAGAAAGAAATTATTTTTAAAATTAAAGTTTGAGTTAATATTAAAATCAAAATAATTTAAAAATAGTATAATTATCATTATGTATTAATAAGTAAATTATCTTATATTGATTGTAATTTTTTAACATTATTATATATTGATGTAACTAGAAGAATTTTCTTAACGTTATTATATAATGATATAATTAGAAGAATTTTCTTAACATTATTATGTAGTGATATAATTAGAAAAATTTTCTTATTATTATATAATGATGTATTACAATTGATATTTTTAATGATTTGATTTTTTTAATAAAAGGCAATGAAAATTATTTTTATTTTTTTTATAACAATTCTTCTTTTAAAAATTAATTAAATAGCTAATAATATTAAAAAAAGAAATTTTTCTCTTTACAAATTCAATAGTTCTGATGAAGAAGATAACTAATTGTACATAATTTATTATAAATAAATGATATTTTGATAATTAAATATTTAATTATTTCTTATTTAATTAGTAGACAAATTTAACAAAAAAATAAATGAAAGAGAAGTAGTTACAGTTGAAATTGAAGTACTCAAACAGACTCAGAAAACTAAAAGATCATCTTCAAGATATAAGTATATTTTTATAAATAGAAAAAGAAATATATATTTAATTTTAAGATTCTTAAAATATAATTTTAAAATTATTTTATAATAGAATAACAGCTTTTAAATCAAAATAATCAAGCAGCTAAAAAACAAAAAGAGTCTGATGATACTTCAGGATCAAATCAAGACAGTAATGAGGAAAAAGATTTACAAGAAAAGAATCTTATTTATAATCAACAAAGTACATCAATAAATTCTATTTATAATTAATAAAGTACATCAAAGAGTTCTGTTCATAACTAATAAAGAACATCAAAGAGTTCTATTCATAACCAATAAAGAATATTAAAGAGTCTTATTCATAACCAACAAAAAATATCAAAAAGTCCTGCTCATAATCAACAAAGAATATCAAAAAGTCCTGCTTATACTTCACTAAAAAGTAATAATGATAAACAGCAGATATCTTCTTTAATAGTAAATAATAAGCTAAAGATTGAACAGATCATCAAAATATTTATCAAAACTTTTAAAAGAAATCCAAATTTATGGATCAAATTTAAAGAGATTGTCAAAGTATTACCAGAAGAACTTCTAGTAGTGATTGAAAGGAAAATAAAATTAAATGTTGATAATGTAAGTATTATTATTTATTCTTATAATGCTTTATTTTAAGTATATTTATTAATTTAATATAATATATTTTAAGAGAACTTGTGAAACAACAATAGCTAAGGAAAATAAGGATTTTTTAATGAAAATGAAATGCTTATTTTTAAGAACCTGCAATTTACTATCCTCTGCATTACGATCTGTTGTCAAATCTATATAGCTAAATTATGTTATCAATTTAGTTAAATCAATAGCATATATATCAAAATCACATAAGTACTTTGATTCATTTAGAAATAATTTAAATAAAAATATGTCAGCTCTTATATGTTAATTTATAAAGGATAAAAGATATTTTTATAATTATTTAAAAATTAATAATGAAAATTATCATACTATCATCTGATACTTTTATTATTTATTTATTTATTTATAGTTTTGACGATATTAATTCAGTTAAAAAGACTGATATTACTAATTACGTGAATGAAGCAATAGTGAAAAAATATTTGGTAACTTATTTAAAATACATTCATAGTTCAATGTAGAATGACGAAATTTTTTCTAAAATCCTTAAAAATTTATTAGATACTGTCTTTTCATTCATTTATAGCACATATTGAAAGGTGATGATAAGATAAGATATAGTGTAAATATCCTAAAAATGATCAAGTCAGATAAACAAATAAAATAATTAAGAATTTGCAAGTCCTTAGTTTAAGTAGACTTAATATTGCAAATAATATTTATTTGTAATTATTTAGTCAGAATTTAATGGTATTTTTATACCATTTTACAATTTTTGGAATTTTTTTTTTTTTAAATCATTTTCAGATTATTCACATTGCAATATTTTTATAATTTCAATTTATTATATATAATTTTATTATCAAATCATTTTAAAATGCTTGTAATAATTTCAAAAAAATTTTTTTAAAAAAAAATCTTTTTTAGCACATTTACAAAAGTATTTTAAAAGCTGTTTAAATTTAAATTACAAATTGTACAAAGATTTTACAAGTTAAAAAACCTTATAAAATACTTACATAATACTTATAAAATGATATAAAATGTCTTTTAAAGAAAGTTCATATTTTAGCTAAGTATTTATATTTCAAATTTGAAATTGCAAAATTGAAAATTTCATATAAGATTTAAACTTATAAAAATTGAAAATTATGTATAAATTAAAATTATAAAAATTATATAAAATTATATCATTTTATTAAAATTGTAAGAATTATTGAATTTTATATAAAATTAGATAATTATTTGCAAAATTAGAAGCTTTATTATATAAATTAAACTTTATTTTATTTTAAATACTAAAAATTAAATATATTTTCAAAATTTTTAAATTACAATAAATTTATCATTTTTTTATCATTTAATTATTAAAATTTTAAATATAAATTAATATATAATTGTTATCGATTATGTTATAGATGATAATTAATTATATACTAAAATTACTATTTTATTATGTGATTGAAGATCATATGATATAATAGCATCCTATATATGTAAATTAATTATTATTCAAATATAACTGATAATAAGATTATTTAATATGTATAATATAAGCACTGATCCTTTTTTATATAAATATTTTTAATCACTTAAACTTTTTTTTCTTATTTTTTTCATGTTTTTTTCATAAAGTTTTTAAAATTCTTTTACTTTTTCAAAAAACTTTATAAAGAAATTATAAACTTTACAAAAGCCTTTCAACTTCTAACACAGAAGGAAATTAATAAATTACAATAAGCATTGCTAGTTTCAAATACTGAAAAAATACTACAAAGTAGCTTTAAGTTATTGAAAGGTTTAATAAAAGTTGTGATATATCGCAAGCTATATAATTAACTAAATCTGCAAATAAACTTGAAGATTATCTTTATCAATTTATAACTTAGTTAAAAAAAGAAGATAGTTCTAATTATAAAGTTGAATCTGTACATAATTGCTACAGTTAATATTGCATATCTAAATTTATTTTAGATTTGGCAAAATGTTTAAACTATAGTTTTACTAAATTTTTATTAAGGTTTTGATATAGTTTCGCATTTTTATAAGCTTTGATATAGTTTTATCTTTTTTAGAATTTACAAATTTTTTAATAAGGTTTAATATAATTTTACCAAATTTTACTTTTTTTTATTTAGATAACTTGCAAAATCCCTAGGTTTTGTCTAACAACTTTAGCTATAGTACAATAAATAGATATCTTAAAAAGCATAGTATTCTTCAACTATAAAAATTTAGAATTATTACAAGTTTTTTCATGCTTTTCGTACACTTGATAGAAAAATGAAAATTTAATAAGATAAAGGATTAGGTGATCCTAAAAAATCTAATGGTTTATTTGAGAAAGAAATTAAACAAATATTTGATCATTTATATATAAATATTAATACTAATGAATCACTTACTAGGCGAGTCCTTTTTGGCTATGCTTACTATGTAGTTTACATAGTGTGATGCATATCAAATTTATAGAAAAGATCTTACATATTATCAAAATAAAGGATTGGAGCTTATATTGTATAAAGAAAAAAATAATCAAGGTGAAGCTTTTTATATAAATAAATATGGAAAACTAAATTTACAATATATTCTTATACTTTTAGATATATTTAATAATAAATATATACCAGTTAAAGATATTTTTTTATTTTTATTAAAATTATCTAATTCTATTATATCACAAAATTTTTTATTTCATGAAACTTGTAAAAGTCAAAAGGGTAAATATTTTAAATACTTTTATATTAATAATTATTAATTATTATAAAATTATTACTAATTTGTTATTTTTCTAAGATTTACGAAAAGATTATTAGTTTAAAAATAATCCTATAGGTTATATAAAACTTAGAAAAATATTGCATTAAATACTGGAATTAATCTTAATAATGAAAGATTAATTACAAATCATTCTTATTGTCATATTATAATATAACTTTTAAAGAATAATGGACTTTCTGATTCTGATCTTCAATCATTTTCTGAATATCAATCTCATAAAAGTTTAGTAAATTATTATAAAACTAGTGAAGATCAACGCATTTTAAATACACAATTATTAATTCCTTTTATATCACAAGAATCAGATTCTAAAGAATATGAATTTAATGATTATTTAAGAAATTTAAATTTTAATTTTAATGGAATCGATAGATAAATTTTATTTATTAATCTCTTTTATATAATAAATTTATTTATTCAAAAAATATATGTTATAGATTCAAATAATGATTTGTCTATATCTATTATTCAAGAAATCCAAATTCCTATAGCTTAAAATCAGATTCAAGCTTTTACAACACAAAATATTCAAAATTTAAGTCAAGCTAATATATTAAAAAATGTAAAAACTTTAATAATAGCACCTTTTAAATCACCTTATCACCTTAATTCCCCAATGATTATTTTTTATAGCAAAAATTGAAAGTATTTATCTAGTACTAATAACCAAAATCATTTATCTTATATTAATAATAATATTATAATTAAACTTCCACCTGGTATCTCTTCACAAAGTTATAACTTAAATATTAATCTAAAACTAACATAATTGTAAATAATATGATTACTTTATTATAAAGTGATCAAAATTTATATATTCAATAATAAAGTATTTAAACTTTGTGTATTTTAATAATAAGTAAATAGAATTTACATATTTAATAATATGTAAATAAAATTAGTTTATTTTAATTAAAAGTAATTAATAATTTTCATGAAAAAGGATCAATACTCATATAAAACATATGTAATAATATAATATTACTAAAAAACAAAAACTATTGTTAAATTCAAAATGATTTTAATTAAAAAATTTACATTAGTATTTATTTTATTTAGATTTTTATATAATTATAAAAACTAATTAGCATTGATTTAATTAATAAATAGGTAGATAAATATAATAAAATTTAAATAATTATAACCTTTCACTTACATTTTAGATTATTTATTAAGTATAAATATAATATAAATTTAAATATAATACTAAATAATTATTAATATATATTTTTTAATTTATTAAGAATTGGTTAATATATATATAATAAAATTGTTTAATTAAACTTATTTTAAATTTTACAAAATAGTTAATTTTTAGTTATACTAATTTTTTTTGAAGTTTTAATATAATTTTGTTATTTTTATTAATATTGATATAATTTAATTTTTCTTAATTTTGTAAATTTTTTAATAATATTTAATATAATTTTACTAAATTTATCTTTTATAATACAGTCATTCTCTCTATAGTCACCCTGTACAATCACATTATATAAATCCTTTATTATAAATATACATTTCGTATGAACTAATACCTATTAATAATATATAAAAAAAACTCTTTATAATCACAATATTTTTATAATTACATCTTTTCAGAACTAATACTTAGTAATAAAATATAAAAATCCTCTTATATAGTAACTTTTTATTATAATCATACTTTTTATTTTTGGTTTCAAGGGATGTGACTATAAAGGAAGACGACTGTATTTGTTTAATTTATTTTAAAATATATTAAAAAGTATTATAAAAAAATAAAATATTATTTTTAATTTTAAAGAATTTAAAATTATATTATTTAATAAATATATTTTAATTAATAAAAATTATAATTTAATATTTTATATTAAATATTATAATTATTATTAAAATTCTATTTAAAATATTTAATAGTTATAATTTTATTATTTTTAATTTTTTTATTAATATAAAATTTATTTTATTTTTTAATTAGTATGATTTTAAATTTTTTAAATTAAAATAAATTTTAACTATGAATTCTAATAAATTTTTATAGATAAGAAAGTAATATAATTAAATTAAATTATAATAAGTAAAGTAAGAAAATTTAAAAACTATTTATAAATAGAATAATTATATCATAATATATATGTTTTTACTAATTTAATTATTATAATTTATTATAAACTTGTAATTCTATTATTAAATAACAAATATTTAGTATTTAAATTTAAAATAACCATTATATTACTATTTATGTATTTAATAAATAATTATAAAGATCTTTTTAAAATAATAAATTATTAATAATTAGCTGATTATCAGATTACATTATATTAAATTAAAAGGAATTTGATATACAAGGGGTGACTATAAAGGGTCGTCTGTATAACGTAATCCTAACAATCAATATATAAAAAACTACTTTTTTTGGTAAATATTTTTTAAAAAAAAACTGCTATTATTCTACTCCGTTTTCGAAACCCATAGTTTATACTTTTCAAAAAAGTTTACAGGAATCGTACAAATAGATTGATTCGACAATACAGGTTTGTAGTTTTTTGATCCTTTCAGCAAAAAATGCTTCGATGTCGTTTTAAAAAAGTAATTGTAAAAGAATAAAAAGAAAAGTCAAAAAATAACAAAGAAAAAAAACTTGAAAAAATATACAAAATAGGAACTTAAAAAAATAAGCCAGCGACATCAAGCAAAAATACTTGTCTTTGTATATAACCTTTGGTATGTTTTTTATTGGGTTTGGGTCTTTTAACACTTTGCTTTTTGCTACCCTTGTTTTTTTTATTTCGCACTTTTTGGCTGTTTCACCTGCTGTCTCACAATAAGGTTTTGGTGAACAACCACGAGTGCGAATAAAGTTAAATTGGATGTCCATGAGCAAATAAACGATGGCCTCTTCATGTTTTGGTCTTATCGCTCGTTGCTCATGGTATTCTTTGTGATCTCTACAAATCATGAATGAGTTTATAAACATATCTAAATCAAACCCTACCTTCTATGGAATTCTTGGATGAAAGCTTTTTCTTTCTTTTCATCTTGAATTAATTTTCAACCATGACCGATGAAACTGTCCAAATTGACCAAAGCGATAGTCATCATGAAGAGGGCGATGTTACTGAAGATGCTGAAGCGGTAAACGTTATTCCAATTTAATATTTCTAATTGTTTATGTTCAATATTTGTCGAGATGGAACATTTCACACTATCTCTTTGGCAAAGGAGATCGAGGCAATGAAACAACGGGTAAAGGAAATGGAAGAAGAAGCAGCTAAACTTCGTGAAATGCAAGCTCAAGTCGAGAAAGAGATGAACCTTACTTCAGAAGGTAGCATACAATCCATTGAAGTAATAAATCTATAATCTATAAAGTTTTTTTAATCAATTCATTATTTATAAATTTTTAGAGGATAAGGAGGCAATCGACGCACGATCGATTTATGTTGGAAACGTGTGTTATTATTTATTTATTTTAAATGAAAATTTTTATTTGAATTTTTATTTTAATACTTTGAATTTATATAGGTAGATTATGCAGCTACTCCGGAAGACTTACAGAATCATTTCCAGTCTTGTGGTACAATAAATCGTGTTACAATTCTTTGCGATAAATGGAGTGGACATCCAAAAGGGTAAATAAGATCAGAAAATTGTTTTATTTTTTTTTTTGTTAATAAATAAGAATTCTAAATTGGTATCATTTTACACAGATATGCTTATGTAGAATTTGCAGATCCTTCTTTAGTAACTAACGCGATGTTGTTGGATAACACAGTACTGCGTGGAAGAGCAATTAAGGTATTTCATCATTAGTAATTTCATTTAATATTTTAAAACAAAATTCTTATTTATATTTTTAAATTTTAGGTTACGGCAAAACGCACAAACATTCCAGGATATACTAATACTAGAGGAAGAAGTGGAAGAGGCACTCGCGCTAGTTGGCGTGGTGGATATTACGGACATGGTGCTTACTATAGTCCCACATTTAGAGGCAGCCGTGCGAGGTAATTTATGATTTGTTACTAAATTTAATTGACAATATCTACTTCACATTATTTATTTAATTCATCATTAGAGGACGACGTGCTTCTTTCGCTCCTTATTAGATCACTTTTTAACCAATAGCATTAGTGGTTTGATAATTATTGATGGAATTCTTTATTATCAAAAAAAAAAAAAAAAAGCCTTAAATTAACTGGCTGAAATTACGTTTCTTTTTTTTTTTTTTTTTTCTTCTATAATTCTATTTCTTTTCTTTCCACGTCTTTTCCCTTTCTTTTTTTTTTTTTTTTCCTTTTTTTTTTTTTTTTTTTTTTTTTTTTTTTTTTTTTTTTTTTTTTTTTTTTTTTTTTTTTTTTTTTTTTTTTTT